CCATCTTCCTGATAGCTTCTCATTGAGATAAGTCCCACAGTCAACTTAGTCTTTACATATTTTGGTAAAATTTGAGATTTGAGCGAGAATTGGCTGTGATATTAGACTACAAAATGATGTCAATTTTGGGGAAAAACCTGCATATGCTTATATATATTTATATATTATTACTTCAAACATTATTATTAGTGGATGCTAGTATTTGAAATAGATGCCCCATCTTTATATATTTATTTTAAACTATGTGTATTACGTCGATCAGACTGAGCATTCGAATAATTTTAATAAAGAAAATGTACGCTCCGGCGGGGATCGAACCTGCGCCCACCATTTGTAGGTGAAACCAACGTTTGAGCTGTCGTTTTTATCGCTCGGCTACAAAGTTCTATTTTTCCCTCTTATGGAAAACACACTTCCTTATTTACATATTTTTTCTCGAAAAACCTATATTTGTTTTTGTATCGGGAAATGTAAACAAATCAATTTTTCAGTGACGTGCCGTGGCTTCTACAAGTATTTTTACGGCAACTGTTTTGATGAGCTACTTTTGCTGGTTCCCATACTGTATGAATTTAAGCGAGCGAGGCTGGCATCTCGGTCCCACCCTTTCACTTTCTAAACAGTTAAATGTAACCATCTCTTCTACTCAAACAGCTTCTTCTCTCGCACTTCCTGTCTGTGGAACTCCCTTCCCCTTGCTTGCTTCCTCGATAACGAAAATCTTCAAATATTCAAGTGTAATGTCAATCGACATCTGATACCTTGATCTTGTTCCCCGTCCTTTTCTGTATCCTTTCCTCAAACACACCTCTTTACTCTTGTTCTCAATCCTCTGTAACCCCTTGCATGCTAGTGGCACTCCGCCTTGCTTGGGTGAATTAAAAAAAAAAAAATCAAAAAAAAAAAGGTCATTTGCCTGTCTTTGACAAAATTTATACGACAGATTTGTGCACCTGATTAGTTTATAAATATCGTTAAATACAATTTTGCATGTGAATGAATTTTTTATTGTTATGTTAAAACTTATTTAATTTGGATGTTTTTTTATTATTATAAATAGAAAAAATTGTTTGGTTCATCGTTGGGACTTGTTTACATAGCCCTTTATATATATTAAAAACGTAAATTGCATCCAGTGACTCTGACCCAAATTTTGGATGATCAAAATTTGGAAATTTTTTAACATTTTAATTATTTACTGAGACATCCGGAAAACACAAGGCATGTTCAAAGAAATCTTTTACCCACTATTTTTTTAAATAATGGGTTAGTTTTGAAATACCAATCACATTCTTGGAGCATACAAGGTAATTTTTCGTGTATATGGTAAACGAAGAATATAAATAGTGTAAATAATAATGTAAATAGTGTGAATAGTCAGTATTTTAGTTGAAATTCTAACATCTAATCAGAAAAAAACTATGCTCTTTATATAACAATCAATTTTAAATTAAATTTTCAGTGTCAGAACAGAATGGAAAAAAACTCTTCGAAAAAAATTAATTAAACGGAAAGCGTTACCCGACATTAACTAAGGGAGAAACTTTGTAAATATATTTAATAACCTGAAAACATTAATAGATTATATATTACAATGTTTTTAAAATTTGTTTCTTGTTTTCATCTTCTGACCTTATATTCAAACGAAGGATTTTTTAGTTGAAAGCTCCGGCCTTCTAAAAAATAATAGTTGAAATTCAAACTAACCTTTTAATCCATTTTGGGTGGATTGTTTTAATATAAAAGTTGTTTTCAATATTTCAGGTCATTGTTCAACAAAACACAAAAACTTGCAGTTTGAGTTACTAATGGAAATAATATTTAATTGAGGCGTGGCACGTGGAACGAGAAAAATCTGCCCAGATGGACAAAATTTGATTCACTCTAACGAAATTCCAAAACAAATCACCTCAAAAAACACAAAATAAAATAAATAATTGTTTGTTCTTCATTTTGAAATATAGAACTTGTGTAAATGTTATTATAATATTGTCAATTGCAAATATATTTTTTTTTTAAGTGGGCTATAGACCCGCAAAATATTTAAACAAAGTCGAATGATAATGTTTTGTTCGTTAAAGGTTTAGGATCTCGTTTCCAAATTTAAAAATTTTTAGAAAAGAACGACATTGAGTAAAAATTTATTGTTTGTTTTTTAAACATTTTGTTACTGTCTTATTTAATACTGTATAATAGTTTCATTTAAAATTTTGATGAGACCATGTTAATGTTCTAACTGATAAGAAATATTACAACATTGTAATTCAACAAGTATTTGTGTGTGTGTTTGTGTGTCTGTTGTTAATAGAAACGAATATTATGCATTCTTTTCTTGAAATGATTATTTTAAAATTAAAAATTGTTTATAAATTTATCGAGGAATAAAGAAAAGGAATGTTTTATACAATAGAGTCAACTTTATTATAAATGATTAAATTTTTTGCTTTTTTGTCTTTTATGTAAACGGAGTGATTACCTGGTAGGTCAAAAAATTATTAGTAGTAATTTTGTTCTATTATGTAGATATTAAAAATCGTGGCTGGCAGTTTCTCGGGTTGGGTTTTTGAGAATCTTTACAATCCTATTTCGTCAGTTCAATTTATTTGGAAGTTCCAGTGCTATGTTTTTTTGTTGGATTTGATGTTATGTTAGAAATGGTTAACAACTCGATAAAAAATGTCACTTGGGGGTGCCAGACAAATTTTAAATAAAAAAATGTTTACTTAAATCTTTTTTTTTTTAAAAATTGCCAACAAAGTGAAGCAATTAACAAATACATAATAAGAAACAAAGAGTTTATTTAACAAGATATCACTTTAAATAAAGATTCAGACTGTCTAACGATATTTTTCATTTATTGGAGCGGATAAGAACGACCCTTCTAACGAAATCGGGATAGATGATCCGTTTGATATCGATATGAAAGAGATTAGAACAAATACGAATATAGATAAGAACCTGATAGAATGTACAGATGCAGAAAAACAGACATACACTACGTCAGATATTATAATGCAAATCAATGTGGCTTTAAAAAAAAATTTCTTAACTCAATGTTTGGCATAAAACTAAGATTTGATTCCTGTCCTAAGAATTGTTTCTTTTCATTAGACACCTCCTCATTTCTAATCAACAGGTTTTTTCTTGCGTGCTAGTGCCAAAAATAACCTTGCTTGTTGTGAATGTGTTTTAATATATATATATATATATTTATATATATATATATAAAATTATTTTGAAAAAATTTCTCTCTCTCTTGAGGACAAATTAGAATATATAAACGTTTTATTTCTATATGATAAAAGTTAAAAAATAATTCCATATGGATACGAATTTCTTTGAGGAAAACCTTAGTTCAAATTTAATATCCATTACATTCAAACGAAATTCCCCGCCTTGGGAAAGGTATTAAATTATCATTTTCCCCAGTTTACGGCTAAATAGTAGGATTTTGAGTTCTGTACCATTGATTTTAATCTAAAATATAAAAAGTTGGCAATATTGAATTGGTAAAAATTTTTCGTCAGTCGCTGATTTGGAAAAATAGATATAATTCGCCTGACTGACTGAATCTAACATTTGAATTTACCGGATTTAATATATATTCTATATTAAAAATAGTAACACTTATAACAATTTGATATCATATAAAAATGAAAAATAAAATGAAGTGCAACAATTAAATAAATAAACATAAAAGTTATTGATCATAGAAATATATACAATATACCTGAAGAAAGAACAAATAACATATTTCAAAAGTATTAATGGATTTTGTTTTTAATCTGACATTTTTTTTACTTCAAACGTCATTTTTTTAGTGTACATCCATATTACTGAGTAAACTCCCTGTATAGTGGATTACACTTAGTTAAGCGTTTACTCGAATATGCATATCCACTAAAAATATCGTTTGAAGTAATAAAAAACGATAACAAATAAAATAATGGATATAACCGAAGCACAATAATTATTTTTTTTAAATTTTACATGTTAATATTGGTTCCTTGACATCTTATAACTTTCATCAGTATTTTATTTCATTAACTGAGTTTGACTTGTTTACTATTGAATTATGCTTTACAATGTGTCTGGACCTGAATTCAAATAGAAGAAAATTTGTGCCAAGAACTTATAGTTTATTCAAGAAAATTTTGAAATTTAGTAGATTTAGAGCGATTTATTTTTGAAGACAATAAGCCAAAATAAGTTTGCAATCAATTAGTTACTAACCAGAGAAAATGGTACTTAAAGTTATTACCTAGGAAGTCTGGTATTGCTTTCTAGCTGAAGCGAACAGTTAATTTTGTCCTTGCCTATTTTGTTCCTGCTGTTGCTGTACTAAACAAAGTTTTGGAAAATTATTATTCGACGCCTAAGGTTATATTCCAGTTTATACAGGCCTGTGCAAACGTATGTATATAGTAATGAAAAGCAAAACGTGCACAAAACATTAAATTGATTATACAAGCACATCAATAATAAACATATCGATCCCTCAAATGTTTAAACTTTTTGCCCCCGTCTTTCAAACATTTCTCTTTACCTGCAAAACATTTATTATCATTTATTAAAAAATAAAAATTATGAAAATAAAAATATTAAAAATGATTTTAATGAATTTTAGTATTAAATGAATCGTAGAACCAATATTGTAATACTGGTATAATACTTACTGTATACCTACTTTTGCAGCTCCCTGTATATTGTTTTAATATTTGAAAAATGAATTCTATTATAAACGAAATGGATTGAAACCTATAGATAATTTTTCGCCTCCTTGTATATATGTATATATCAGGCCCAGACTAAAAATAGATGAACTTTCTAAAGGCAAGCAGGTTATTTACTCTTTCACGGCCGACACATATGTCTTTAATGACAACGTCATCCTGATTCATGACGATGTCGCCTTGAGGCAAAGGAAATGACGAGATGTACACACGACAGTTTCATTTTTACTCTTTGTAACTATTTTCATTTTAGAGAAGTGGGGAAATATGGATTCTGAGGAGGTCAAAGGTAAGTGTGAAAAAAAAAGGGTTAACGGAAGAAAGGTGTTCATTAATTCAATGTCAGATTTGAAATTTCTCTGTAAACATTGTTCTATTTTTTCTTGACTCATCCTTTCTGGCTTTATTCTTCCGCGTTGGTTTCTGTCTTCCTGTCTTTCAATTTCTTTTATTATTATTATTATTATTAATCCTTGATTCGTTCATTTGTTTGTCTTCCTGTTTTGTTTTTTTTTTCCTTTTTCTTTTTCAAGTCTTTTTTTACGCACCTTATGCTTCCTTTCTAGGTCATTTTTAAAGAAAGATGTCAAGTTAAATGTGTCTGTTACTTTATATGACTAATTTCAACAAGATTCCAATGACACTCCAAGAAAAACGTGACAGAAAAAGCAACTATCCACAACTGATCATTTAAAAATAAATTAAGTATGTGCGAGTTTTGATTAACGCTAAACAATCATAACTTGGTAAATAACTTGGAGTAGGAACAAAGTCAGACCAGTTTTGAAATTTTGACACTATCTACTTCCAGGCAAGATACAGCACATAGCATTTGAGAAATGTTCTAAAGATTCTAAATGTCCGATTGCAAAGCCACATAACCGTTTTCAAGTTAATTTTTTTCTTTCATTCCTTTACTTCTTTTTCTTCCTTTACTTCTTTTTCTTCCTTTACTTCCTTCTTTCTTTTGCTTTATTTTCCTTCTTTCTTTTCCTTTTCTTTCTTTTCCTTTTCTTCTGTTTCCTTTTCTTTCCTTTTCTTTCTTTCTTTTTCTTTTTTCTTTCTTTCTTTTTCATTTTTTTCTTTCTTTCTTTTTCATTTTTTCTTTCTTTTTCATTTTTTCTTTCTTTTTCATTTTTTCTTTCTTTTTCTTTTTTTCTTTCTTTTTCTTTTTTCTTTCTTTTTCTTTTTTCTTTCTTTTTCTTTCCTTCTTTTTCTTTCTTTTTCTTTCCTTCTTTTTTCTTTCTTTTTCTTTCTTTCCTTTTCTTTCCTTCCTTTTCTTCCTTTTCTTTCCTTCCTTTTCTTTCTTTCCTTTTCTTTCTTTCTTTCCTTCCTTTTCTTTTCTTTCTTTCCTTTTTCTTTCTTTCTTTTTCTTTCTTTCCTTTTCTTCTTTCTTTCTTTTTTTCTTTCCTTTTCTTTTTTCTTTCCTTTTCTTTTTTCTTTCCTTTTCTTCTTTCTTTCCTTTTCTTCTTTCCTTCCTTTTCTTTCTTTCTTTTTTCTTTCCTTCCTTTTCTTTTCTTTTCTTCTTTCTTTCGTTCTTTCTTTCCTTTTCTTCTGTCTCTCTTTTTCTCTTTCTTTCTCTAGCAGACATTTACCTAGAACAAGTAAGTAATCTGAATTCTCAGAATATGGATTCTTTTGAAAATGCTTGAAAGACAGGGCAAAACAGAATAACCAGTTATTGCTTAACACTCGTCAAAACTCGATCGACTAAAGTAAAATTCAGTATACACAATTTTTACTTTCCTCAATCGAGTTCTAATGTAGTGCATAGCGATATCTGATTAGCTTATTGGTTTTTTTTCTCTTCCTTGTTCTTAATTTCTTATTGCTAATTACCGCAGCTGTTATTGTTGTCTTCCCCTCTTTGTCCCTTTTATATCCGTTTGTGTTGTCGTAATGACATTCTTTTACCTTTTAGTAAGATCTTCAATTTTGAACAAAATATTCACCATCTTACTGCAAAGTTTTCTGTCATCTTTCAAGTAAACTTCAGGAATCCATCTTCCCAGATTTTTTTCTTCCTCAGCAAAGAACTGTTCTAAGTGAATTTTTGCAGTCTTTTAGAGAAGTAATACTTTTTCTTTAATTAAGACTTTTGTACTACATCAGAATGCTGAGGATATCATGGACAGATCATTTGAACAAGGAAGAAGTTATCAGAAAAATGAAAATGAAAAGGACGCTTGTATTTAGAATAAGAGACAGCCGAAATTTCTGAGATATATAATGAGGAAAGAGAGCATGGAGAATTTGACACTAACAGGGCATATTGAAGGGTAGAGGTAAACATCGAATAACCTGCCTAACAAGATTGTGGAAATGGCTAGCAGAACAGGTAATGGGAATGATAGTAAAGAGACAAATATTACTTAAAGCTACAACGGATAGGAACGTGTGGAGAGTCATAATTGCTTGACATGGTACATAAATGATATCATAGATATCATCTACAGCTGTTACTCATTATTTTATAAAGTCTTCACGTGATATCTTCGACGACATGAACAATAATCTCCAATGCCTTTTTTTTTTGAGTAACAATTTAAATTTATCTCTGCATATATTTTTCGTATTTACTGCGTCAGTATAAATGTGAATGAAGGTTTTGAGTTGTTCATTTAATAAATCCTCACAAGAGACATAAATGGCCTCTAAATCGGACCGTGTTTCCACATAAACGGCATCTAAATCGGACCGTGTTTCCATGTAAGCGGCATCTAAATCGGACCGTGTTTCCACGTAAAGCGGCATCTAAATCGGACCGTGTTTCCACGTAAAGCGGCATCTAAATCGGACCGTGTTTCCACGTAAGAGGCATCTAAATCGGACCGTGTTTCCACGTAATTTCCACGTAAACGGCATCTAAATCGGACCAGAATTCCACCGAAGGACTCAAACCTTCATGTCGGAACACTTCCGCTGTGGTTTGACCTAGAGAGTTTTGTGCAGTAGAGGATAAAAAAAATACGAACTGATACCTAACGGAAATGTAGACGTTATTTATTTATTTAACACCGAACTGAATTTCTAACCATTCAGCATTAATGACGATCGTGGCAATAGTAACTGATATGTGCGAGTAGCCTAAGGGTTGTTAGCCCGGAAAGTGGAGTCGGCGAGCCGATTTAAAATTCCGAATTAGTCTGTTGTATTCACTTTTAGCACTAATACCTTTGAGAAAGACATGTATCATTATTTTCTTTCTAACTTTGTTAAAGAAAACTAAATTCCAAAGCCGCGGAGAACGTGGGAAACTACTTCATCATCTTTCCAAAGAATGCATGGCTATTCACATATAGCAGAATCTGTGGAGTGCGATGATCGCCTACATCCTGAAGGGATATAGCATTAAAAAAACAAAGCTATGGAAATCTTGTATTTAATTAAACAACATTGTGTCATTTACCACAAAAAGAATGATACTCTTTGCCTGTCCGAAAATGACATCATAGATAACGATGATTCTCATTTGGCAGGTCGCCGGTCAGTTGGTCAAGAAAAAATAAGATAAAATGGAGAAACAGGAAATGAGACTTTTTGTTTTTATTTGACTAGTCCACATTTTCTTTTAAGTTTTTCAAATTACTTGTAGGCTGACCGCCTACAACTAATTTGAAAAACTTAAGCCAATAAGTATGACTCTGTGTGAATAATAAAGAGAATGAGACAGAACAAGTTATATATACATACGTCGAAGTGTGTGTGTGTGACTTTGACATGGTGTAATGGTTAACACGCTTACCTCATTAGATCAATTACAGCTTAGTTGCGAGTTCGATCCTCACTGGCTGCTTCATAAATTCACTCTTGTCCATATGTTCGTAAATCGCTATACAAATGTATGCATATCTCTATAATGTTTACTAAACACACACACACACATTATCATCCGAATCCTACATAGACAAACTGGAATTATGATACACATAAAGCAATTTGTACGTTTTTTTCAATTAGGCTCAGTTTCTTTTTGTTGTTGTTTTTTTTGTTTTTTTTTTTGTTTTTTTTTTGTTTTTTTTTTGTTTTTTTTAGCTTCGAAAGGATACGTCGTCTCTCCTTGAATTTGGAAGGCAGTATTTTATACTAATGCTGCCTAACAAATCAAATGCACGTGAAGCCTGCTTAACCAATGAAGACCAAACAACTCAAAAATAAACATACAAAAATTTATTTTTTCTCCATATCACATTCTCTGAAGCTTTAATAAAAGTGAAATATCTTAGACTGATAAATGTTTCTCTATATAAATATATGTTTAACATGTGTTTAGCAATAAATTTGAATTTCGCTATTAAAGTCCCAAAATTAGAAAAAATAAAATAAATCAATTTTTCTTCTCGTTGCCGTTTCCCTTAAGGTTTTGTATATGAGTGATCACCATTTTACACTTCGGATACATGTGCGTTGGTGGGTAATGGATATCGACTCGAAATGGGAAACCGGAAAACCGAGTTCGAATTCGAGTCGAGTTCATTACATTCCACTTACGCACAAATAACATTGGGAAAGGTATGAATCCATTTCCACTCCCCTCCACCCACCAGCTATGTATTGAATTGCAGGACAGACTAGGTTCTGAAGCCTTGGTTGGCAACCAGTCTACCGCAGAAAGAAACTGCTAGTTACTGTGGGAAAAATCTTCTGCCGAGTCTGTCATGAATCGAAAGAGACATGATCGTCTAAGCGTGAATCCCATATGGCACTTTACTGATTTTTAATGATAAATTTTTTTACATATAAAGACAGGAATTGAAAAAAATTAATTAATAGAAAGCTTATTGGGGTTATATTATTATTCAATTATAAAGAAGCCATGAAAGAGTAGCTGAAATTTTATTCTTGAAAACAATGATAAGTTTGGAAATCCTACAGCTGGCAAGTTAATATATCAGGTGTATCTGGAAGTTCCCAGCGCCATTTTGTTTGTTTCTTTAATCTAGACTTTTAAAATAAGAATATATTGTTTTGTCACAAACTACCTTTTTCACTAAAAACTAAGTAATTTTTCTTCGGGGAAACTCGAAGCGAATAAAAGACTTGTCTATTCACAAAGATGTTTTGTCCTACAAGGTTTTTCGTTGGTTGATTTTACCACACTTCAACTCTTTATGGTTAATTTAATGTCGAAGATTGCATGAGCAGCCAGTGAGAATCGAACTTACTACTCATTAATAATAATGTTTGGTTTAAAAAAGGACAATTTTAGCTCTGTTTCGTCTTTTGCAAATAATAATTTTTTGATGTTTTTATTTTATTTTATTTTTTTTTATCTAACCCTGAGAACAGCGTGAATAGTAGAAATTTCGGATCAACAATACTTGGGTTTAGTGAAAAATAATTTTTACGTCACCTCTTGCCATGGAAATTATTGACAGTAATAAGCGTTTTCAAAAATATACCACAATGTGATCATGTATATCAAACATATCACTTGCAAAACCAAAGTGTGATTTTGGTTTCTGTGACTTTATTAACTGCCACGATTAATAATGATGATCAACCAGACTGAACTCTTTTATCCAAGGCATCATCTTGCAATCTAGGAAGGTCAAATTTATAAGGCATAAGTTTCATAGATGCAGATTATATATTTAGGCTCTCTGATTTGGTAATTATTTGCAATATGAAGCTCCGTTACAAGAAATATATAAGGTTTTTTCCCCCCTTTTTCTTTCTATGATTTTATCAATCAAAATGAAGACAGACATTCTACAGTAATCAAACAGACGAATTAAAAGAAGAGGTAAGTTCGTATTTTGAATTATTCAATAACCGTATATTAGTTTAACTATTAACCTATAGATTCGCTATTATCACTTTAAAGTATTTAAAAAAAAATAAAAATAAACGGCAATCTTTGTTTTCAATATTTATTTTCTTCCAACTTCTTAACACAATATTTTGAACGATTGTTGTTTTTTTTTCTGTGTTCAGATACTCTATATTTTTGTAAAAATCCGAATTTATTCATGTGCGTTCGTTTTGTTCGTCATCGATATAATCACCCAAATTTTCAAATATTAATTGAACTATGTTATAAACTAAATGTTCTGAAAATAAAATTGTTTCGTGTTCATTAAAGCCTCAGTGGGATGGGAATCAAAAGAAGAAAGTTCGAGTCATATTATTACCAAATTCAACATGGCGTCTTTAGAGTTCGTAAGTTTTTTTTATTCAACCTGGGAAAACTAGAAATACCTGTGAAAGTTTTATATATGGATTCAGTGCCCTGTGGATTCAACCACTTTAATTGAAACGACATCCAAATTTGACAATATTTAAAACTAGCCTAGAAGCTGCCCTTCGGGACGACTTTAGGCTAGCTCCTGTGGAGGGCTTTTGGGCCTTCGGGCTTTTACTGTCAACATCCTATGTACGTAAAAGTTGTAAGAATTTAGAAATAATAAAATTATTTTATATTTATTCGATACCTTAATTCGGCAAAATCTTTCTTCGTATACACGACTCATCTCCGTAGTTTGTTTACACTTTTTTTTGCGCGTAATTTTGATTTTCTTTTAAAATCGCCATTCTTTATGATCCCTTCGCATAAAGTCCCCCTTAAAAAACATTAGGGAACC